AGTATTTGAAGAAGAAATCTCTTGAACCTCTCCTGGTGGCATCAGCCTCCAAGGTATAACATTTATATAAGAGGAACACCAAGGCGAGCAGCAACATCAGCACCGTCAGCATGGCCGCCCACACCAGGGGCGCCAGGGGAAGCAGGAAGCCCCACGGGTCCACCTCTGGCCGCCCTCGACCTGCTAGGATCCTGAGGTAGTCAATTAATATGATTCTTGTGTAGTCTACCACCTCAGCCCGCATGGCGCTCATGCCAAATGGTCCGAGACCAATATCCGCTTTCTGGAGAAGAAAGGGAACAAGGAGGCATAAGTGAACATGACTCGAGTCATTGATCATAACAGTTAAGAGTGTTTTTATTAATATATAAACTACAAAATAGTTTATATATGGTGATCTCTGTATTATTAAGCAGAGGTTACCATATATGACGTGAGTGAGATGTTTGATGGAAGCTGAGAAAGATAACAGGAGTGAATGATTTGGTAAATAACAGACAATATAAATAGAATTTGCTACACTGTATAGTTTGTATATACCTAATATGTGCTTATAATCTTACTAGATGAAACTTATGAAACCCAATATAGTTGTACGAGGGGCGGGGATGAACCGGCTAGGCCCAGGTATCGCTATTCCCCTTTCGCACAATTTCCCCGACCCTCTTCACTCGTCTGTGTGTTCTTACTCCCCCCCCTATCTTTCCACCCCACTCTCTCCTAACTTTCGCACCCTGTCACCCTTCACTTCTCCTCTCCCCTTCTTCTTCACTCCCCCACTCAGTCTCCCCCTCTCACCTTACCTTCCCTCTCAGTCTCCCCCCTCTCCACCTTACCTCCCCCACTCTCCTTCCCCCTAACATCTCTTCCTCTTACCCTCTCCACCCTCTCTCCCAATCTTCCCTTCTCCTTCCACTCCCACCTTTCACCATCTCTTTTCCCCACTCTCACAGCATCACCTCTTTCTGCCCATTTGCCTTAAAAAGTGTAAGGCTGAACAAACATTTTGTTTTAACTGATACAGTCTAGGGACTCGGCCTGCCACATTTCACATATTATGTAGTAAGATTATGTGTAAGAACAAAAGAACCGACCCCCGACCAACCTATGTCTGTTCCGCATACCCCGCCCATTCATCCTGGTGGCCAGACACACAAACAGATCTTCTCTCTCATAAATTAATGGTTCGTTGCTAATTGATTTGCCTCTGCCAGAAATATTATATTGAAGCTTAGCAAATGTCCCTGAATTTGTCTTTGGACATTTCAGAAAAATTTACACAAAACAAAAAAAAGGTAATATTCTTTTAGTGATCCAATATATTTGAAACAACAGAGAGGCTCGTCAATTTCAGATGATGACCACCCATCAATAATGCGTATGGATAACTCATCTTGATCAGGCCTGTACAAGCGTTCTCACAATTTCCTTAAAAAAATCAGTAGATTAGCCTAAGTAGTATGTGTCTTCCTCTCCTGATCTGGAAGTATCTTCCACACCTGATCCAACTGAGTCTTGCACAACTGACTTGACTGGATTATCCACACCTGATCCAAATGTGCTCTCCACACAAAAGATCCAGATGGATCTTGGACACTTGTACAAACAACCCGTCCTCTTACTGAATGACCTACATTTTAAACACTGTCGACCTATCATCAAAAACTGTGGTGATTTAAGGAAATTAAGATCCCTTTAGTATTGATACTTTTAGCAACTGATGAGTATGAGTTCCAGTAACTTAGGTGAGTAGTCTAAGTTTTAGCGCTTTTAGTTAGTCTAGTCCAGTACATTTTTATGAAAGGGAAACCGAGGGAACAGGTTGGTCTGAATCAGGTGAGGAAGATATCCCGCCAGAAAGTGTGTGAAACAGACGAACCGACAGACACAGCAGCTGCTGTGATTAAGGCCATATCTTGTAACTAAAGTTTACAACAATCCGCTGGCCACCTCCTACCTCCTCCTTCACGAGGCCTACCATGCCAGACCAAGAGCCATCAGGCCTCATGGTGCCCCATGACCCATCAGGAGGCCTCACGAAGGTGTACCTGCAGGAAGGAAAGCATAGTTGATGCTCTAGCATACTCAGAGCTGCTGTTGTGGCCGTATTATAATACAAGTTATAATATGTTATTTAAATATGCAGTATTCTGTTTAGTTAAATGTAAATTGTAATTCAAGCAAATTATATTCATAATTAATCATGTAAGAAAGTTGCTTTACTATTGATTTGTATTATAAGTACATTCAGTTTTTTTTTATCTTATTTTAAGATAGCTTCAACAAATTGAACTCCTCTTGCAATCCTTATTTCGTATGAAATATTATAATTTGTGAATGAAATTCAGCTCACGTGAAGTTAAGTGACGTAGCCATCGTGTGGAGCAGGTTGACCATGGGTCCTGTGAAGGAGAGTGGTAGCCCTGGCTTCCCTGGAGTGAGAGCTGTGTGAGGTTGGTATTCCTCGGCCGCCACAACCAGCGATGCTCCATGATCAAATCTGTACATCATGCCCTCTCAAGTGGAATTTATTATTTTAATTTTGAATGTCATTATTAAATTAAAAAAAAACTGGAATGAAACAAGAATAAGATCCCTCGATCCCTCTCTCTCTCCCTCTTCCTCTTCTTCTCCCAATGAAACAAGATCCCTCGTCCTAAAGATGGCTACATTAACCTGACTTCTTATGATCTTACCCAGGACCAACGAGACCTCTTAAATCTTGGTCTAAATTGTCAATTCTTATCTAAACCAAAGATGCATCAAAAACGCCTGGAAATCGAAATGCTTCTGGACGATATCCATAAGCTAGAAGACAACAAAAAAGTCATCACCACTGACACACTTCAAGCTAAACTACTTGCAGAAGCAGGGAAAAAAACGAGGAACATATTCATCTACAATCTTAACCCCACGACTCAAAGAAGCAGCGAAACAACTAAAAAATCTGAAAGACGTAACAATAAGAAAAGCCGACAAAACAGCAGCATATGTATGATTCCTACCCATGAATACATGAACAAAATTAGCGACATCCTTAGTGGCGATTCCAAATTTCAAACGAATCACGAGGAACCCCGTAGAAGACCTTAAGCGGAAAGTAAACAAAACAATTACAGCAATCAACGCAAAGAAAAGGTAGTGTGCATTTCAATAAACTTCAAGGCGACTGTGGCTTAGGATATGCCTACGGCAATGTTAAGACGCATTAAACCAGGTAAACCACTACGCCCTATAATCAGCCAAAATACCAACCCCAACTTATCACCTGGCAAAGAAACTCAATGAACTCCTAACTCCATACACTCAGTAAGTTTAGTCTACAATCATCAGCAGATTTCCTAGAATGATCAAATCTAACCAGCCCGATGGAATCATCGCTTCCCTGGACGTTGAATCCCTATTTACCAACGTCCAGTCGACACAACCATAGGAATGATACTGGGACAGAGTAACAGAGACGAGAGCACCCCAAATTAGACATACCTGAGCCACACTTGAAAAGTCTTCTCGAAGCATGTACAAAGGAAGCCCCTTTCATCAGTCCACAAGGAGACATGTATTTACAAATAGACGGAGTACCAATGGGCTCCCCCTTAGGAGTTTTATTTGCTAATTTTTATATGGGAACCAGCTGGTGGTGGAGGGGGTCTCGTAGCCTGGTGGATAGCGCGCAGGACTCGTAATTCTGTGGCGCGGGTTCGATTCCCGCACGAGGCAGAAACAAATGGGCAAAGTTCTTTCACCCTGAATGCCCCTGTTACCTAGCAGTAAATAGGTACCTGGGTGTTAGTCAGCTGTCACGGGCTGCTTCCTGGGGGTGGAGGCCTGGTCGAGGACCGGCCGCGCGGGGACACTAAAGCCCCGAAATCATCTCAAGATAACCTCAAGATAACCATCGAAGACAAGGTCTTCAGTAGCAGACAAAAACCAACTGTATACTGCCGTTATGTAGAGACATATTCGTCATAGTAAAAGACTCAGATGAACTAATTGACCTAAAAAAGACACCTAGAGAGAGAGTCAGTACTCCGATTACACATGGAAAATAGTGAAAATAACAGTCTGCCATTCCTGGATGTACTAATAACAAAAAGAGGAACCTCTTTAAGCACCAACGTATATACTAAGCCCACCAACATAGGATTATGCCTGAACGGTAGAAGTGAGTGCCCCAAAGATACAAAGCCAGTGTTCTCAATGTTATATTCGTCAAGCGCTTACCCACTGTTCTGAATGGAGCAACGTGAGTAGAGAGTTTGAAAGAGTAACTCAGGTATTGGTGAACAACGGATATAGCAACGCGGAAATAAATGCTGCTATAAGAAGACACTTGGACCGTTGGTATAATCCAGAACCTAGAACAGAAACCACAACACCTCCAATAAAATTATATTACAAATCAACCATGCACAGTGAACATATAAAAGAGGAAAGAATAATGAAAGAAATAATCCGTAAAGGAGTAAAAAGCACTACTCCTAACCAAAACATAAACCTGATAATATTCTACAAAACCAAGAAGACTTCCGAACTCCTTATCAAAAACAGCCTGAAGCCGACGGAGAACCCTCTACAGTAGTCAAGCGTTGTATACATATACACTTGCCCCCACGAAGGATGAAACCTTCAACGTAAGTACATAGGTATGACGTCGACCAAGCTGACGAGGCGTTTGACATGCCATCTTCAATCCGGTGCCCCTAGGAATCACATGAGACAACATTACTCTAACAAGAGAAATGTTGAACAAGAATACCTGCATAATAGACAAAACCCAAGATGCAAGAAGATTACAAATTCTTGAGGCAATTCACATAAGAATAGAGCGACCTACCATGAACACCCAAATCACGGAACTATTTACTCTACCCACCATGAGAGTAAGGACAAGACAAGAACATATCGATGCCAACACAGAAGACAATGTCCAACATAATAGGCCAATTACACTGGATTAATCTTTGTGTTTAGATAGGAGCTGCCTCGTATGGGCCAATAAGTATTCTGCAGTTACCCCTATGTTTCACCTTTATTGTATTATCACTGACCCAGTGCGGGTATAAAATCAACTAATATATATATCTATATATATATATATATATATTATATATATATATATATATATATATATATATATATATATATATATTGTGACGGGAAAGTGTTCGAGTGTAGATGTTCGGCAGTCCTCCAATGGCAGGTGTCAATGCCTGGTCACACTTACAAAAAAAAAGATAGACTGCTTGCCTGTTGTCTGTGGTAAGTGAGAGAGGAGGAACACATAAAAACACAGAGTATGAACAATGAAACTTTCATATATTTACTTTAAACATAAATGAAAATAAAGACAAATCTCAGGTAAATGAATAGTGCAATCAAATAACAAATATAAATGCAAAAACAATGTGAGACAAAAGTAAATGGTAAAATGGTGCTGAGAATATTGGCTATGGCTGAGACCTCCCTTAGTATACAAAAGCCAGAGAGCTTAGTATGCCAGAGAGAGATGTCAACTCTAGGAGCACAAAGAATATTCTAAAGTTGATGGCTAGGCCAGGCTCAGTCGTCGACTCAGGTAGATGGCGCTGAGGTGCAGTGTGCAGGTGTAGTAGTCGGCGAGTCACCAATCAGGAGCAGACAGGCTGGAATGGGTAGTTGGCTGGTTGACGACGAGCCGGCATGGAGGGTGTGTGGAGTTGGGGGGGGGGGGGGTTCTTGGGTACGTTTTGCCTCCTGGCCAAACGTTTTGTGCTAACGGTACAATTAACGCAGACGGCCCATTGGCCCATCAGATGCACCCAATTGGCACATCCGATGTAGCCCAATGGCCCATCTGATACAGCAGACATAAACGCATAATATATAGGTAATTATAACATAAAGAAGTAAAATATACAATAAATTAGTGAGACAAATGTTTTTCAATGATTCTACTTAATCGCCCTTTAGCTGATCTATTAGAAATGGATCTAAGTTATATAGACCACTGCTAATATTCAAATTACTTTCTTTGGTGATCTGTATCAAAGCAGATTCAATTATGTTTCTGTTATAGGTGCTTTTACAATTTGTTATTGAAGAAGCACTCTCCCAATCAATTTGGTGAGCTTTTTCTGACAAATGCACAAACAAAGCATTAGACAATTGGCCATGTCTTACAGAGTATTTATGTGCGATATTCTACATTTTAAATCTTTAGATGTTTGCCGACATAGAACTTATTACATTCCTTACAAGGTATTTTATAAATGACGCAATTATCACTACGAGGGCTGTTCCTTACTAATAGCTTACCAACAGTGTTTTCGTAGCTAAACATTACATCTATATTAAAAAGTTTCAAGGCCTTGACAAATATTCTCAAACCCAGAGAAATATGGTAAACATAACACATTCTTTGGGCGAATCCTTTCACTTTCGATTGGTCTTAAGCTTTGTTACCCACTGAATTTTTGGAAGTTTGTCGTAACAAAGCTCGTCGTACATATTATAATAATGTATGCAGTGAAAGGATTCGCCCAAAGAATGTGTTATGTTTACCATATTCTCTGGGTTTGAGAATATTGTCAAGCCTTGAAACTTTTTAATATAGATGTAATGTTTAGCTACGAAAACACTGTTGGTAAGCTATTAGTAAGGAACAGCCCTCGTAGTGATAATTGCGTCATTTATAAAATACCTTGTAAGGAATGTAATAAGTTCTATGTCGGGCAAACATCTAAAGATTTAAAATGTAGAATATCGCAACATAAATACTCTGTAAGACATGGCCAATTGTCTAATGCTTTGTTTGTGCATTTGTCAGAAAAAGCTCACCAAATGATTGGGAGAGTGCTTCTTCAATAACAAATTGTAAAAGCACCTATAACAGAAACATAATTGAATCTGCTTTGATACAGATCACCAAAGAAAGTAACCTGATAATATTCTACAAAACCAAGAAGACTTCCGAACTCCTTATCAAAAACAGCCTGAAGCCGACGGAGAACCCTCTACAGTAGTCAAGCGTGTATACCTATACACTTGCCCCCACGAAGGATGAAACCTTCAACGTAAGTACATAGGTATGACGTCGACCAAGCTGACGAGGCGTTTGACATGCCATCTTCAATCCGGTGCCCCTAGGAATCACATGAGCGACACATTACTCTAACAAGAGAAATGTTGAACAAGAATACCTGCATAATAGACAAAACCCAAGATGCAAGAAGATTACAAATTCTTGAGGGCAATTCACATAAGAATAGAGGCGACCTACCATGAACACCCAAATCACGGAACTATTTACTCTACCACACATGAGAGTAAGGACAAGACAAGAACATATCGATGCCAACACAGAAGACAATGTCCAACATAATAGGCCAATTACACTGGATTAATCTTTGTGTTTAGATAGGAGCTGCCTCGTATGGGCCAATAAGTATTCTGCAGTTACCCCTATGTTTCACCTTTATTGTATTATCACCTGACCCAGTGCGGGTATATAAAATCAAC